GGAACATCAGATCATTTGGGAATGCTTCGGACAAGGGAGTAGGGAGGACGAAGGGACAGGGGTGTGGGATGGTAGGGTGGAAGAGGAGAGGGAAAGGGTAATAGTGGGGATGATGAGGGAGATGGGATGGTGGGGACGAGGGGACGGGGCAATGTAGAATGGTGGGGAAGACAAGGGGACAGGGGAGTGGGGGATGGTACGGAGGACGAGGGGACAGTGCAGTGGGGGGATGATGGGGAGGACAAGGGGACTGGGAGGGGAGAATGGTGGGGAGGACGAGGGGACGGAGGAGTGGGGAATGGTGGAGAGGACAAGGGGACAGGGATGTAGGGGATGTAAGGGATGGAAGGAAGGACGAGGGGACGAGGGAGGCAAGAAATGTTAGGGAGCACGAGGGGACGTGGGAGTGGGAGATAGTGGGCAGGACGAGGGGACTGTGGAGTTGGGAATGGTGGGAAGGACGAGGGGATGGTAGAGTGAGGGATGGTGGGGAGGACAAGGGGTCGGGGAGGGAGGATTGGTGGGGGAGAACGAGGGAACGGGGCAGTGGGAAATGGTTGGGATTACGAAGGGATGGAGGAGTGGGGAATGATTGGGAGGACTTGGGGACGGGGAGGGGGGGGAATGGTGAGGAGGATTGGGGGGCAGGGGAAGGTTGCTGTGGCTCAGCAACCACATGCGTTGCTGAGCCACAGCAACGCGTAGCGGGTACAGCTAGTACTACATATTAATGTAGCCAAACATAATGAAACCTAACCAAACATTAACCTAAGGTAATCTTAATCTAACCTAACCATGGATAGAGAGCAGATAATAGCACAAATTATATAGTCGTTCCCAGTCACGGTGCCTTTCAGGCTGATGTCCATCACAAAGAAAAGAAGAATCGTTCAGTGGTTGGTAACTACAGACCAGAGCCATTCCTTTCAATTTATGGCAAAATTCTTGAGACATCAATTTCTCGACATAGGAGGAATTTTATCATTGGCTACTATGTGATCGACAGTATGGTTTTTGAAAAGGTCGATCTGCTGCTGATCTCTTGCTAATCTCTCCACTGAGTGGTATCAGTCACTGGATAAGTCCAAGATCAGCTGTGTTGTTGCTCCAGACATAGCAGGAGCCTTTAATCGGATCTGGATTAATAGTGAAGCTTCAATCACTAGGCATCTAGTGCTTGAAGCATTTAGAGCGGTTTTACGTGTACATCTTCTTTCAGTAATATAAACGAAAAATCAGGAACATTTTAGTTAATTCTAATGAAAACACATTGACTTTTATGATTTGTATTTGAAACAACATTTTCATATGCCTTTTTAATAATCTAAAGAACACGAAACCTCGCTTTATGATTTGAAGTATAAATACTCGAATTTGGTAATATAGTGACTTTTTTCACGTTTTTCATGTTGTGTTATTTTAATTAAAAATATTCGAATTTACTAATATTTCGATACTACTTAATGTTTTCTCACGATATGTGATTTGTCCTACAAATCTCAGAATTTCGCATAATATTGCGTTCTTAGGCAAGTTTCATGCATTTTGTTTTGTACTAAAAACTTCGAATCTAGCGATATTTTGTCGTTTATCATCCTTTTTTTTTTTTTTTTTTTTTTTTTTTTTTTTTTTTTTTTTTTTTTTTTTTTTTTTTTTTTTTTTTTTTTTTTTTAGATATATACAAGAGTTGTTACATTCTTGTACAGCCACTAGTACGCGTAGCGTTTCGGGCAGGTCCCTGGAATACGATCCCCGCCGCGAAGAATCGTTTTTATAACCAAGTACACATTTTACTGTTGAGTTAAACAGAGGCTACAGTTAAGGATTTGCGCCCAGTAAATCCTCTCCGGCCAGGATACGAACCCATGACAAAGCGTTCGGGGAACGCCAGGCGAGTGTCTTACCATTTTTTCCTTTATGTGATTTGAACCTCAACAGGGAGCCGGTCGGCCGAGCGGACAGCACGCTGGACTTGTGATCCTGTGGTCCTGGGTTCGATCCCGGGCGCCGGCGAGAAACAATGGGCAGAGTTTCTTTCACCGTATGCCCCTGTTACCTAGCAGTAAAATAGGTACCTGGGTGTTAGTCAGCTGTCACGGGCTGCTTCCTGGGGGTGGAGGCCTGGTCGAGGACCGGGCCGCGGGGACACTAAAAGCCCCGAAATCATCTCAAGATAACCAAATATCAACGATTTAGGCAATATTTTGCCGTTTTTCCAGGTTTTTAAGAGTTTTCAGTCTTCAGTGGAGATAATCTGACAACCTCTCTGTTGCTGCCAGCATACCACAGAGTAGTATGCCAGGCCATATGCTGTGGAATTCTGTTTCAGTGATCTGTTACTCCTGATGTTTGTACTCTTACCGATACGTACAGTAAGGAAGAAATACCCACTGTCATGAAGCTCACTAATTACAAAAATATCTGTTCAGAAAAGGCTATGACAGATCACATTGCTGCTGAGGAAACTCAGACGATGACAGGAGTAAATGATATTGCAAATTTGAAGGGTATTCAAATGAGTGACACAAAAATTGCATTTAGTGATGAAGTCAACATATTGGGAATCAGGTTTAACTCTTCACTTACCATGAAAAGTCATGTGTGTGTTCAACCAAGCAAGAAAGACATCAAAGAAACATAGAGCCTTTAGCCACATCGCTCTCAGAGCTGGGGTTGTACTGGGGGAGGCTCTCGGAGCTGGGGTTGTACTGGGGGAGGCTCTCGGAGCTGGGGTTGTACTGGGGGAGGCTCTCGGAGCTGGGGTTGTACTGGGGGAGGCTCTCGGAGCTGGGGTTGTACTGGGGGAGGCTCTCGGAGCTGGGGTTGTACTGGGTGAGGCTCTCGGAGCTGGGGTTGTACTGGGGGAGGCTCTCGGAGCTGGGGTTGTACTGGGGGAGGCTCTCGGAGCTGGGGTTGTACTGGGTGAGGCTCTCGGAGCTGGGGTTGTACTGGGTGAGGCTCTCGGAGCTGGGGTTGTACTGGGGGAGGCTCTCGGAGCTGGGGTTGTACTGGGTGAGGCTCTCGGAGCTGGGGTTGTACTGGGGGAGGCTCTCGGAGCTGGGGTTGTACTGGGGGAGGCTCTCGGAGCTGGGGTTGTACTGGGGGAGGCTCTCGGAGCTGGGGTTGTACTGGGGGAGGCTCTCGGAGCTGGGGTTGTACTGGGGGAGGCTCTCGGAGCTGGGGTTGTACTGGGGGAGGCTCTCGGAGCTGGGGTTGTACTGGGGGAGGCTCTCGGAGCTGGGGTTGTACTGGGGGAGGCTCTCGGAGCTGGGGTTGTACTGGGGGAGGCTCTCGGAGCTGGGGTTGTACTGGGGGAGGCTCTCGGAGCTGGGGTTGTACTGGGGGAGGCTCTCGGAGCTGGGGTTGTACTGGGGGAGGCTCTCGGAGCTGGGGTTGTAGCTGGGGGGGGAGGCTCTCGGAGCTGGGGTTGTACTGGGGGAGGCTCTCGGAGCTGGGGTTGTACTGGGTGCGGCTCTCGGAGCTGGGGTTGTACTGGGTGCGGCTTTCGGAGCTGGGGTTGTACTGGGGAGGCTCTCGGGGCTGGGGTTGTACTGGGGGAGGCTCTCGGGGCTGGGGTTGTACTGGGGGAGGCTCTCGGAGCTGGGGTTGTACTGGAAGAGGCTCTCGGAGCTGGGGTTGTACTGGGGGAGGCTCTCGGAGCTGGGGTTGTACTGGGGGAGGCTCTCGGGGCTGGGGTTGTACTGGGTGAGGCTCTCGGAGCTGGGGTTGTACTGGGGGAGGCTCTCGGAGCTGGGGTTGTACTGGGGGAGGCTCTCGGAGCTGGGGTTGTACTGGGGAGGCTCTCGTAGCTGGGGTTGTACTGGGTGAGGCTCTCGGAGCTGGGGTTGTACTGGGGGAGGCTCTCGGAGCTGGGGTTGTACTGGGGGAGGCTCTCGGAGCTGGGGTTGTACTGGGGGAGGCTCTCGGAGCTGGGGTTGTACTGGGGGAGGCTCTCGGAGCTGGGGTTGTACTGGGGGAGGCTCTCGGAGCTGGGGTTGTACTGGGGGAGGCTCTCGGAGCTGGGGTTGTACTGGGGGAGGCTCTCGGAGCTGGGGTTGTACTGAGGGAGGCTCTCGGAGCTGGGGTTGTACTGGGTGCGGCTCTCGGAGCTGGGGTTGTACTGGGTGCGGCTTTCGGAGCTGGGGTTGTACTGGGGAGGCTCTCGGGGCTGGGGTTGTACTGGGGGAGGCTCTCGGAGCTGGGGTTGTACTGGAAGAGGCTCTCGGAGCTGGGGTTGTACTGGGGGAGGCTCTCGGAGCTGGGGTTGTACTGGGGGAGGCTCTCGGGGCTGGGGTTGTACTGGGTGAGGCTCTCGGAGCTGGGGTTGTACTGGGGGAGGCTCTCGGAGCTGGGGTTGTACTGGGTGAGGCTCTCGGAGCTGGGGTTGTACTGGGGGAGGCTCTCGGAGCTGGGGTTGTACTGGGGGAGGCTCTCGGAGCTGGGGTTGTACTGGGTGAGGCTCTCGGAGCTGGGGTTGTACTGGGGGAGGCTCTCGGAGCTGGGGTTGTACTGGGGGAGGCTCTCGGAGCTGGGGTTGTACTGGGGGAGGCTCTCGGAGCTGGGGTTGTACTGGGGAGGCTCTCGGAGCTGGGGTTGTACTGGGGAGGCTCTCGGAGCTGGGGTTGTACTGGGGGAGGCTCTCGGGGCTGGGATTGTACTGGGGGAGGCTCTCGGAGCTGGGGTTGTACTGGGGGAGGCTCTCGGAGCTGGGGTTGTACTGGGGGAGGCTCTCGGAGCTGGGGTTGTACTGGGGGAGGCTCTCGGAGCTGGGGTTCTACTGGCGAGGCTCTCGGAGCTGGGGTTGTACTGGGGGAGGCTCTCGGGGCTGGGGTTGTACTGGGGGAGGCTCTCAGAGCTGGGGTTGTACTGGGGGAGGCTCTCGGAGCTGGGGTTGTACTGGGGGAGGCTCTCGGGGTTGGAGGGGTACTGGTGGAGGCTCTCGGGGCTGGAGAGGTACTGGGGGAGGCTCTCGGGGCTGGAGGGGTACTGGGGGAGGCTCTCGGGGCTGGGGTTGTACTGGGGGAGGCTCTCGGGGCTGGGGTTGTACTGGGGGAGGCTCTCGGGGCTGGAGGGGAACTGGGGGAGGCTCTCGGGGCTGGAGGGGTACTGGGGGAGGCTCTCGGGGCTGGAGGGGTACTGGGGGAGGCTCTCGGGGCTGGAGAGGTACTGGGGGAGGCTCTCGGGGCTGGAGGGGTACTGGGGGAGGCTCTTGGGGCAGGAGGGGTACTGGAGGAGGCTCTCGGGGCTGGGGTTGTACTGGGGGAGGCTCTCGGGGCTGGAGAGGTACTGGGGGAGGCTCTCGGGGCTGGAGGGGTACTCGGGGAGGCTCTCGGGGCTGGAGGGGTACTGGGGGAGGCTCTCGGGGCTGGAGGGGTACTGGAGGAGGCTCTCGGGGCTGGGGTTGTACTGGGGGAGGCTCTCGGGGCTGGAGAGGTACTGGGGGAGGCTCTCGGGGCTGGAGAGGTACTGGGGGAGGCTCTCGGGGCTGGAGAGGTACTGGAGGAAGCTCTCGGGGCTGGAAGGGGGTACTGGGGGAGGCTCTCGGGGCTGGAGGGGTAGTGGGGGAGGCTCTCGGGCCTGGAGGGGTACTGGGGGAGGCTCTCGGGGCTAGAGGGGTACTGGGGGAGGTTCTCGGGGCTGGAGGGGTACTGGGGGAGGCTCTCGGGGCTGGAGGGGTACTGGGGAAGGCTCTCGGGGCTGGGGTTGTACTTGGGGAGGCTCTCGGGGCTGGAGGGGGTACTGGGGGAGGCTCTCGGGGCTGGAGGGGTATTGGGGAAGGCTCTCGGGGCTGGAGAGGTACTGGGGAAGGCACTCGGGGCTGGGGTTGTACTTGGGGAGGCTCTCGGGGCTGGAGGGGGTACTGGGGGAGGCTCTCGGGGCTGGAGGGGTACTGGGGAAAGCTCTCGGGGCTGGAGGGGTACTGGGGAAGGCTCTCGGGGCTGGGGTTGTACTTGGGGAGTCTCTCGGGGCTGGAGGGGGAACTGGGGGAGGCTCTCGGGGCTGGAGGGGTACTGGGGAAGGCTCTCGGGGCTGGGGTTGTACTTGGGGAGTCTCTCGGGGCTGGAGGGGGTACAGGGGGAGGCTCTCGGGGCTGGAGGGATACTGGGGAAGGCTCTGGGAGCTGGGGTTGTACTGGGGGAGGCTCTCGGAGCTGGGGTTGTACTGGGGGAGGCTCTCGGAGCTGGAGTTGTACTGGGGGAGGCTCTCGGAGCTGGGGTTGTACTGGGGGAGGCTCTCGGAGCTGGGGTTGTACTGGGGGAGGCTCTCGGAGCTGGGGTTGTACTGGGGGAGGCTCTCGGAGCTGGGGTTGTACTGGGTGCGGCTCTCGGATCTGGGGTTGTACTGGGTGCGGCTCTCGGAGCTGGGGTTGCACTGGGGAGGCTCTCGGGGCTGGGGTTGTACTGGGGGAGGCTCTCGGAGCTGGGGTTGTACTGGAAGAGGCTCTCGGGGCTGGGGTTGTACTGGGGGAGGCTCTCGGAGCTGGGGTGTTACTGGGGGAGGCTCTCGGCCGGCTGGGGTTGTACTGGGTGAGGCTCTCGGAGCTGGGGTTGTACTGGGTGAGGCTCTCGGAGCTGGTGTTGTATTGGAGGAGGCTCTCGGAGCTGGGGTTGTACTGGGGGAGGCTCTCGGAGCTGGGGTTGTACTGGGGGAAGCTCTCGGAGCTGGGGTTGTACTGGGGGAGGCTCTCGGAGCTGGGGTTGTACTGGGGGAGGCTCTCGGAGCTGGGATTGTACTGGGGGAGGCTCTCGGAGCTGGGGTTGTACTGGGTGAGGCTCTCGGAGCTGGGGTTGTACTGGGGGGAGGCTCTCGGAGCTGGGGTTGTACTGGGGGAGGCTCTCGGAGCTGGGGTTGTACTGGGGGAGGCTCTCGGAGCTGGGGTTGTACTGGGGGAGGCTCTCGGAGCTGGGGTTGTACTGGGGGAGGCTCTCGGACCTGGGGTTGTACTGGGGGAGGCTCTCGGAGCTGGGGTTGTACTGGGGGAGGCTCTCGGAGCTGGGGTTGTACTGAGGGAGGCTCTCGGAGCTGGGGTTGTACTGGGTGCGGCTCTCGGAGCTGGGGTTGTACTGGGTGCGGCTTTCGGAGCTGGGGTTGTACTGGGGAGGCTCTCGGGGCTGGGGTTGTACTGGGGGAGGCTCTCGGGGCTGGGGTTGTACTGGGGGAGGCTCTCGGAGCTGGGGTTGTACTGGGGGAGGCTCTCGGAGCTGGGGTTGTACTGGGGGAGGCTCTCGGAGCTGGGGTTGTACTGGGGGAGGCTCTCGGGGCTGGGGTTGTACTGGGTGAGGCTCTCGGAGCTGGGGTTGTACTGGGGGAGGCTCTCGGAGCTGGGGTTGTACTGGGGGAGGCTCTCGGAGCTGGGGTTGTACTGGGGGAGGCTCTCGGAGCTGGGGTTGTACTGGGTGAGGCTCTCGGAGCTGGGGTTGTACTGGGGGGAGGCTCTCGGAGCTGGGGTTGTACTGGGGGGAGGCTCTCGGAGCTGGGGTTGTACTGGGGGAGGCTCTCGGAGCTGGGGTTGTACTGGGGGAGGCTCTCGGAGCTGGGGTTGTACTGGGGGAGGCTCTCGGAGCTGGGGTTGTACTGGGGGAGGCTCTCGGAGCTGGGGTTGTACTGGGGGAGGCTCTCGGAGCTGGGGTTGTACTGGGGGAGGCTCTCGGAGCTGGGGTTGTACTGAGGGAGGCTCTCGGAGCTGGGGTTGTACTGGGTGCGGCTCTCGGAGCTGGGGTTGTACTGGGTGCGGCTTTCGGAGCTGGGGTTGTACTGGGGAGGCTCTCGGGGCTGGGGTTGTACTGGGGGAGGCTCTCGTAGCTGGGGTTGTACTGGAAGAGGCTCTCGGAGCTGGGGTTGTACTGGGGGAGGCTCTCGGAGCTGGGGTTGTACTGGGGGAGGCTCTCGGGGCTGGGGTTGTACTGGGTGAGGCTCTCGGAGCTGGGGTTGTACTGGGGGAGGCTCTCGGAGCTGGGGTTGTACTGGGTGAGGCTCTCGGAGCTGGGGTTGTACTGGGTGAGGCTCTCGGAGCTGGGGTTGTACTGGGGGAGGCTCTCGGAGCTGGGGTTGTACTGGGTGAGGCTCTCGGAGCTGGGGTTGTACTGGGGGAGGCTCTCGGAGCTGGGGTTGTACTGGGGGAGGCTCTCGGAGCTGGGGTTGTACTGGGGGAGGCTCTCGGAGCTGGGGTTGTACTGGGGAGGCTCTCGGAGCTGGGGTTGTACTGGGGAGGCTCTCGGAGCTGGGGTTGTACTGGGGGAGGCTCTCGGGGCTGGGATTGTACTGGGGGAGGCTCTCGGAGCTGGGGTTGTGCTGGGGGAGGCTCTCGGAGCTGGGGTTGTACTAGGGGAGGCTCTCGAAGCTGGGGTTGTACTGGGGGAGGCTCTCGGGGCTGGGGTTCTACGGGCGAGGCTCTCGGAGCTAGGGTTGTACTGGGGGAGGCTCTCGGGGCTGGGGTTGTACTGGGGGAGGCTCTCAGAGCTGGGGTTGTACTGGGGGAGGCTCTCGGAGCTGGGGTTGTACTGGGGGAGGCTCTCGGGGCTGGAGGGGTACTGGAGGAGGCTCTCGGGGCTGGAGAGGTACTGGGGGAGGCTCTCGGGGCTGGAGGGGTACTGGGGGAGGCTCTCGGAGCTGAGGCTGTACTGGGGGAGGCTCTCGGGGCTGGAGGGGTACTGGGGGAGGCTCTCGGGGCTGGAGGGGAACTGGGGGAGGCTCTCGGGGCTGGAGGGGTACTGGGGGAGGCTCTCGGGGCTGGAGAGGTACTGGGGGAGGCTCTCGGGGCTGGAGGGGTACTGGGGGAGGCTCTTGGGGCAGGAGGGGTACTGGAGGAGGCTCTCGGGGCTGGGGTTGTACTGGGGGAGGCTCTCGGGGCTGGAGAGGTACTGGGGGAGGCTCTCGGGGCTGGAGGGGTACTGGGGGAGGCTCTCGGGGCTGGAGGGGTACTGGGGGAGGCTCTCGGGGCTGGAGGGGTACTGGGGGAGGCTCTCGGGGCTGGGGTTGTACTGGGGGAGGCTCTCGGGGCTGGAGGCGTACTGGGGGAGGCTCTCGGGGCTGGAGGGGTACTGGGGGGGGGCTCTCGGGGCTGGAGAGGTACTGGGGGAGGCTCTCGGGGCTGGAGGGGTACTGGGGGAGGCTCTTGGGGCTGGAGGGGTACTGGAGGAGGCTCTCGGGGCTGGGGTTGTACTGGGGGAGGCTCTCGGGGCTGGAGAGGTACTGGGGGAGGCTCTCGGGGCTGGAGAGGTACTGGGGGAGGCTCTCGGGGCTGGAGAGGTACTGGAGGAAGCTCTCGGGGCTGGAAGGGGGTACTGGGGGAGGCTCTCGGGGCTGGAGGGGTATTGGGGGAGGCTCTCGGGCCTGGAGGGGTACTGGGGGAGGCTCTCGGGGCTAGAGGGGTACTGGGGGAGGTTCTCGGGGCTGGAGGGGTACTGGGGGAGGCTCTCGGGGCTGGAGGGGTACTGGGGAAGGCTCTCGGGGCTGGGGTTGTACTTGGGGAGGCTCTCGGGGCTGGAGGGGGTACTGGGGGAGGCTCTCGGGGCTGGAGGGGTATTGGGGAAGGCTCTCGGGGCTGGAGAGGTACTGGGGAAGGCACTCGGGGCTGGGGTTGTACTTGGGGAGGCTCTCGGGGCTGGAGGGGGTACTGGGGGAGGCTCTCGGGGCTGGAGGGGTACTGGGGAAAGCTCTCGGGGCTGGAGGGGTACTGGGGAAGGCTCTCGGGGCTGGGGTTGTACTTGGGGAGTCTCTCGGGGCTGGAGGGGGAACTGGGGGAGGCTCTCGGGGCTGGAGGGGTACTGGGGAAGGCTCTCGGGGCTGGGGTTGTACTTGGGGAGTCTCTCGGGGCTGGAGGGGGTACAGGGGGAGGCTCTCGGGGCTGGAGGGATACTGGGGAAGGCTCTGGGAGCTGGGGTTGTACTGGGGGAGGCTCTCGGAGCTGGGGTTGTACTGGGGGAGGCTCTCGGAGCTGGAGTTGTACTGGGGGAGGCTCTCGGAGCTGGGGTTGTACTGGGGGAGGCTCTCGGAGCTGGGGTTGTACTGGGGGAGGCTCTCGGAGCTGGGGTTGTACTGGGGGAGGCTCTCGGAGCTGGGGTTGTACTGGGTGCGGCTCTCGGATCTGGGGTTGTACTGGGTGCGGCTCTCGGAGCTGGGGTTGCACTGGGGAGGCTCTCGGGGCTGGGGTTGTACTGGGGGAGGCTCTCGGAGCTGGGGTTGTACTGGAAGAGGCTCTCGGGGCTGGGGTTGTACTGGGGGAGGCTCTCGGAGCTGGGGTGTTACTGGGGGAGGCTCTCGGCCGGCTGGGGTTGTACTGGGTGAGGCTCTCGGAGCTGGGGTTGTACTGGGTGAGGCTCTCGGAGCTGGTGTTGTATTGGGGGAGGCTCTCGGAGCTGGGGTTGTACTGGGGGAGGCTCTCGGAGCTGGGGTTGTACTGGGGGAAGCTCTCGGAGCTGGGGTTGTACTGGGGGAGGCTCTCGGAGCTGGGGTTGTACTGGGGGAGGCTCTCGGAGCTGGGATTGTACTGGGGGAGGCTCTCGGAGCTGGGGTTGTACTGGGGGAGGCTCTCGGAGCTGGGGTTGTACTGGGGAGGCTCTCGGAGCTGGGGTTGTACTGGGGGAGGCTCTCGGGGCTGGGATTATACTGGGGGAGGCT